TATCAATTAGAAATTCCTTTGTTTTTTCATTTGTGAAAAAATATACTTTTCTAGTCAGGAAACGATATTTTTGATCAGATTAAGGTTTCAAGTAAGAGATACCGTTGTACATCGGGCATTGCCATCTTTAAATAAAATTTCACTTACAGAACTTTTAGATAGCGGTGAATTCATGTAAATTGTTTTAAATCTCATGCCAACAGATAAATCATTCATAGGTTTAGTTAGTGTTGTTAGGTGTGGTGTGAGGGGGATGGCGGGGGGGGGGGGTTAAAAAGATAGGTTGATAGAGATTGATATATAAATAAACAAATATCAACCTAATTAGATTGATAGATAGATAAATAGGTAGATAAATTTAAGAAAGAGATATAGTTGTGTTTATATGAATTATATTTATAAATTAAGAAATAATTCTGTAATAGGCAAATAGCGTTACAACATTTTATAACGATTTTATTTATGGAATTTTTAGGACCAATACCATAATTTCTGTAAAGTTATTTTACTTTACTATTTAGAGATGAATCAAAATATGGAGTCTTTAATAGTAACTTTTTATTTCATGTATACTTTTACCATCATTCGTATTTTTTAATGTTTTTGTCTAGCTTTTGTAATAACAAAGATCTATCTTGAAAACAAGATTGAATGTATAAAATGTAAACTATGATCTGAATATACATAAATTCACCCAAATATAAGAAAAGAATCCAATAAACATGAATAACTCTGGAATATTTTCGATCAATAAGATCAAATGGTTTTAAAAGATTAAATGTCGCATTTTTGAGATTTTTATAAACATTTAATGTGGTAGGGACGTATAACAAACTCAAGTTGCAAGTACACTGCACCACAAACTAGACGTACAGAAGGAGAAGGTCAAATTTATGCAACATTTCTGGTACGACTTTAGAACCTCTTGGCGTCTCTAGTTTAGATTTTACGCACAAGTATGATATAGACATTTAATCCAGTCATATGAAATTCAAAACTTTATTCTTCTAAAACTATTTAATAAGAGAAGTTCTAATTGAAAACATATCAGATTTAAATCTTAATCTAAATTTACTTCAGTTTAACGTGGCACAAGTACAATCTGTGGCCGAATTTAGTTTGATACGAGTTTATTTGACATAACAAAGTATTTTACATACTTGGTGCATTAATCGCAGCCTCGCAGGTGCGGTAAAATACCGAGATAAGAATAAGATTTGGCTGTGCAGTCTTTAGACAATCGTTTCTCGACTATTCTGAAAGGGATGACGTCGCAAAAAATTAAAATGTACCAAAATAAATTATATTTTTCATTTTTCGCAATCCCATTCCAGATAATGTATATTGCACATATCGCAATCAAAAATAAGAAAAATTACACTGAACATATTTTTTAAATCACTACAAATAAAAAGACGAAAAAACACGAGTTAGAAATGTTTGAACACTAAAGGCTTGAAGATAAAGAGGTTTGACAGGGGGTAACTTTGCAAGATGCATAGATAACAATACATAACAGATGAATAGATAAGAAAAACTACAAGATCAAATTAGCATTTTCTGTCATATCAATCTTTCTGGTGCGTATAGATATAGATATACATTACAAATAGATCGTTGAAAAAAAAACCACAAAGAAAGTAACGTTCAAATCCAAAGCTCCAGGTCTATCTTAAAAAATTTTGTGGCCAAATATTTAACACAAAATTACTGACTGTCCCATGCTCAATTTACAGAAAAAAAAGATATATTTAGAAAAAAATGTCCATTTTTTTGAATATTTGAATATTCGAGCTTGGCCAACCTTAGCAGTCCTATAACTTTTGACTGAACCGCAAATTTACAATTTCCAAAGCGCGCGGCAGAGGAGTGTGACCGTTTGCTTTTCTCTGACACCATTATTAAGAGGTTTTTCCGACGATTTCCCTTTTAAAAACTCTATTTCTTTAACTTTCACTTTGGGAAATAGAAATAAAAAGCACACCAAAAAGAGTCAACAAGAAACATAGAGAAATAGATAGATAGATAGATAGAAATTTAATTCAATCAATCTTGTTCGATCATATATCTTGCCACTGTTTGTATAGGAAACGGGTTCTACTGTGAATGGGGGGGGGGGGGGGTGATAAGATTGAGGAAATTGGAAATTATGATTTTTTCCATATTTTCCAGAAAAATAAAAAAATATATATAAGGGTTAGAAAATTATAAATTCAGTTTCTTTAAAGTTAGATTTGATATTGTTGTCCTTCAAGAAATCAGCGATGTTTCTTAATTGCAAATAAAGCAAAAAGGGCAAACCAAATTATTAAATTAAAAAACGAAAAAGTCATATCTCAGATCATAACTTACATAGAAACGCACGCCTCGTATTTTGATTATGCATTTCATGCATCTTTTCAATCCAATTGTGTAAATTTTTGTATTTCTAACTTTATAATTTTATCTATAATAAAATTTATATTTTGAAATATCAGAGGTCTACAACATCCTTTTGCGAAAAAACACGGTTAATAAAATTTAAGTTATTAATAAATTTTAGCAAAATTAAGGTTTACACTTGCCCTTTACAAGCTTTTTAAAGTTTTATTAAGATGGGCACGGAGCATCGTCAACTAACTTGTTTATTCTATTTCTTACAGTTTGATGGTACAAGATGTGTTAGTGTTTACTTTATCAATTGTCAGATAATAAATCTATTAATGTGTCAAATTAATAACATTGTTTACATAGTAAATATTTCATTACAAATATTAATTTCGAGGATGATACTTTTTAGATTTTAATTCACGTCTAAGTAAAGTAATCTGCACTTACAGGGGACTGTAAGCGTAATTTCAAATGACCCTCTATGCAAAGATGGCAATGTCTGATTTATAACTCTACCTTTAAAGGGAGGGACGGGCTATGTAAGGTGTAGTTGAACTGACTATGCAGTGTTGTGGAAAACTTCTTTCAAATTTATATGAGACTTATTAAACTTTTTAAAGATCTGTAAATCCGGAGTTTGAGTGCAAATTCGACGTTCAAAATTCCTATTTTGAGGGTGGATCCGTTTTCAGAATTAGTTTTTTTTATTATTAAATAGCGATAACGAAAAATAAAGTAAAAATCAAATGAATCCGAAAGAAGCTTTTCACAACACTGCATACTCAGTTCAACTACCTTACATAGCCGGTCACTCCCTTTATATTAAACCTTTGTCCGATCAAATATGATTGAGATACCTTTTTTGTTTCTTTAAACTAACTGTTTTCATATGCTGTTTCTCTGCAATTCTTGCTTACAACAATAGAGAAATTATCAGAGAGTTAAACCCATTTCGAGTCAGGAACACGACGATATCTTTCCCATTTTTGATCAGATTAAGGTTTAAAGGTATACTGGGCATTGCTATCTGTACATGGAGGGTATTTTTAAAGCAAGCTCACAGAGTTTCTTGACAATTATAAATGTTTTCAATCAAAAATGCTTTCAACTCTTCTTATTGAAGAACTATGAAGAAAAAAAAATTAATATATTTTGTTGTTGTTATACTAGTCTTTTTTTAAATACTGTTCATAAAATTATTTTTGTATATTACATTAAAAGATTTTAAATTACATGTTTCACGGGTATTTAAAAGTAATATTGCATGTTGTTTAATCAGGGCTCAAGGCAAAAACTTCTAATTAAGAGAATAAAATACTAATAATGAGCTGAGACTAATTAACTATAGCAGCAATGTATACAATTTTTGCAGTTGGTCTGCACGCAACATAATAAATCCTTTTAACACTGTTTACATACACTTGTCGTCGTATATATCATTGAAGAGGATTTTCGATTTGAACTTTGATTTCTATCAAGCTTTCAAACAGCATGGATTGGATATTGGATACACCTATAACATGAAAACAAAGAGAAGCTGCCAATCAAAAATCAATTCTCTATAATTGATTGTAAACTTGTAATTCGAAAAATGGAGTAATGACAATCAAAATTTAAATAAAAAAGTAGTTTTCGTTGTATTGATTTGAACGCCGACTACCGCACCAAAACATATAATTCATTCTTTTTAGAAATTTGTATGTGCTTTAAATAACTCATTTTAATCTTTCAAAATAATTTTAAATCTTTCTTATTTAAAAGGTTCACCGACATAGGGTCAAACGGAATAGGGTCAAACGACATAGGGTCAAACGACATAGGGTCAAACGACATAGAGTCAAACGATCACGGGCAAAAACGCGATAACTGGTCAAGATGTAAAACAATATTCTATGTATCATTTCAGGGTGAGGTTAGGAAAGACAATTTCTGGGCCGAGCGCTACGGCTAGGACAGGCTAGGGGGCCGAGCGCTGTTGCCAATAGTTCAAATGAACAAAAAAATAATTGGAAATTAACCATAAATAGACGTAATGAAATTTTGCCCGTTTGTTTCACTTTTTGGCCCTATGACGTTTTACTCTTAGTCGTTTTACCTTTTGTCGCGTTTTAGACCGTTTGTCGTTTAACCCTAGGTAGTTTTACCCTATGTCGTTTCACCCTATGGCATTTGACCCTAGGTCGTTTGACCCTATGTCAGTGAATCATTTATTAATTATAATCTGGTAAATTCGTAAGAAAACTATCAAAAATAATCTCTCATATACCATATTAAAACAAAAAATCGGTCTTGAATTGGAGATAAAAATATTGATTTTTTAGTGTTTTTTTTGGCAAATAAATGAACGTTAAAAAGATTTGTTTGAATCGAGATAATTTTACCCAGCACGTTTTTTTGGTTCATTCAGATTAGCCTGTAAAGAAATTATAATGTTGCGGAACGCCTTAAACTTAAAATATTGTGGCGCGTGCCGACCTGTAACCTGAAATAAGATGGCTCGTACCGACACTAAACATAAAATATTTTGGCGCGTACCGGCTTTAAACATGAACTGTTTTGACGCGTATCGACTGCGCGAGTTTGAGCCACTGCTCAAGTTTACAGATATATCATTGACGCTACAGACAGTTTACAGAAAACAGTTGTTGTCTGACGTCCTCCCCGGGCACACGTGAATCATGAACTGATAAATTAATAAACTGATAAAATGGGGATTTCGCCAAGTGCTGTGCTGATTGCATCAGTTTTTCTTGTGAATCCAGGACTTTTCGCTGATAAATTTAGCGTGAAAATTAGTGAGAATTTAGACACAGAAAATTGCACAGTAACATTACAAAAATTGCAGGTATTGACAACAATCTAAAAATGTATGAAATAAAACGTCAAATATTTTCTATATATGTATCATCTCAACTTAGATTATTTGATCTAAAAAGTTTAAAATATCTAAGGTCTACGACATTGGGTTGAAAAGATATAGGGATTAGAAAATCGAGTTTGTGGCATTTCTGATAATTATGATGATCACAAAACCTCTCATGCTACGAGTTTTCCTAATGAAAAGATCAAACTAAGAATTTTCCAATAAATTATAATCACTGAACCTCTCATAGCATCTTACTGTTAAACGAATTAATATTTGAGAAGAAAATACGTTGTTTAAAAACGTAAATTGTATTTTGGTTCAAGTTTACTGGGTTAGAGTCAGTACAGTCAGTACAGTCAGTACAGTACAGTCAGTACAGTACAGTCAGTACAGTACAGTCAGTACAGTACAGTCAGTACAGTACAGTACAGTACAGTACAGTCAGTACAGTCAGTGCAGTACAGTACAGTCAGTACAGTACAGTACAGTACAGTACAGTACAGTACAGTACAGTCAGTACAGTACAGTACAGTACAGTCAGTACATATTTTGGAAAGTTTTCAGTAAAAAAAGCGAAAAATGAAGAAAAGTATTTGATAAACAAACCATTTTCAAATTATGTAATAATTATTTTTAATATTTCTGACATTTTCATGTAATGGCAATATCATAATTTCTATTTTGGAACTTGCTTTTAGAGGGAGAGGGGAGGAGGGCTCCAGAAAAAAAAGTGGTAAAATTAAAAGCACCAATTTTTACCTTTACAGTTTGTAACGCTTTGTGTTTATTATCATTTTGATATCTATTCATCCTTTTGATGTGTCTATTGCAAAATGTAAAAGTTAACATTTTAAAGTATCATTATCATTTTTCTTCGGTACAGTTACTGAAGGGGGCAACCTGGCAAACGCCCCCCCCCTCCCCTTGTGAATAGTTATCCTACACGGGAAAGGAACCGGTTAGTTAGTTTCTTAAAACTGCAACAGTAATTTATCTAATAAAAATTACAGTTTTATACTTATGAATATCTTTTATTCCTTTCTTCGGTTTGATTATATTTTCGCTAAATGATCATGGGTTTTTTTTCAGGATGTTTTGGTTTCAAGTTTCTCCGGACTGAATGATCTTGGATTAGGAAATGATATCTCTAATATTGAAATCAGTTTACCTAAACACTGGAGACAGGCTGCTTGTCAACCTGGAAGGACTGTTTTATCCACCCGGATATCTGGAGCTAAACCCAACCTTATCCTGCAACATCAAGGAGATGAACCTTACTCTCTTCAACCTCGTGGTTGTGGAGCTCAGGGTTTAGGTGTATCACTACCTCTCTCTGCACTGAATAAACCCAACCTGGAGAGTACAGTGATGACACAACTGATAAACTCTAGGTTCGGAGTATTTCTCCAAGATTATGAATCCCTAACTCAGATTCTAAATAATACCAACTATGATGGGATGAGTAGGACGGAGCAGAATATAATCTGCGAAGGACGGAACCCTCTAGATATAATTGGTACCCGGAGTCAACCTGTCAACTTTACTCAACCTGAGTTCAGATATGTTGTGGAAGGAGAAGAACATTATGTTCTAGTTCTAGATCAAACCAGTATCATGGATATCAACCAAAGATGGATAAATATCAAGAAATCTTTTAATAGGTTTATAAATAATCTCAAGGATGGAACTATGTTGAGTATTATAACCTATGGTAGAGAAGGTAACCTAGTTTTACCTCCTACAGTAGTTACACATACTAATAGAGAAGGTTTACATGGAAGAATACCAAGAAGAATAGAAGAATCTAATGAAACATGTTTATCATGCGGGATAAAACTAGCCAATGATATATTAGCTGGAAGCTCTGGATCTATTATACTTGTAACTGGAAACTTGTATTCTAATCTCCAGGTAGATGATATAACTGAGATATATACAGTTCTATATCCAGCAAGGGAGGAAACCAATATTGGAACAGTTTATTCTATTCTTGAAGAGAATACTGAGAATCCACTAAACCAACTTAATGAAGTACTTATTGATATAATGAACAGAGCTGAAGAAGATACTCTTGCAAAGATTCATGAGTCTGATCATCTCTCTTACGAATTCTCTGGAACTTTTATTGTGGAAGAAAACCTAAGAGAAGATATAACTGTAACTCTAACAGTTGAAGATGAACAGAAGATAGAATATTTTGAAGTTATTGATCCATCAGGACAAAAGAATATATTCTCCAAGTTTGAGGACGGGATGGTTTTACTCCGGTATAGTGGATTAAGTGAACCAGGAATATGGACGTATCATGTTAAACTGTATCCAGAGGCAGGATTACCAGGAACAAGGATGCTTGTTGATGTGGTAGCACGAGGAAAAGAGAAAGAAATAAGGATTGTAGGAATACAAACCTTGAAGGTTGACAACTTCTCCACCCCTGTACAGATACTGGCTAGGGTTGAGAGAGGAGAAGAACCAGTTCATGGAGCTGAGATCAAAGCTATTGTATCCGGACCTAACTCTGATACAGAAATATTACTCAAGGATACAGGATACTCGGATATCAAGGAAGGAGATGGTGTATATTCTGGATATTTGGCTGTATTCTCCAGTATACCTGGATACTATACAGTGAGAATACTTAGTTCGGATAATAACGGAAGATCATTTACTCTGTCAGAGGGAGCTCCGATACCCACTGGTTCATATCGGAGATATGTTGCTGCTCCGTCCTTCTTTGTCAAGGTTGGAGTAGTACCTGGAGAAGATATAATTCCTCCGTCCAGAGTATCTGATCTGAGTTCAACCCTGCTCAATACATCCTCCTACCTAGAGAACTCGGAGCTATCTGAACCTGAACTTGAGAACTCTACATCTCTGAACCTAGAGCTAAGATGGACTGCTCCTGGAGACAACTATGATGAAGGAAGAGTGGATAAATATGAAATAAGATGTCACACCAATCCTTTAGCCTTGTCTGAAGAGAACTTTACTAGTCAAGGTATCCTTATAAATCAGGGTACAACCTTGATATCTCTAGGTTCAGGATCTATACAGAGAATATTAACCCGGGTTCCTTGGACCAATGAACTATTTTACTTTGCTTTAACATCATTTGATGTTGCTGGGAACAGAGGACGTATAAGTAACCTTGTTCAAGTATATGTTGATGAAAATACTGATTCTGATATTACTGAGACGGATGAAGAGATACAAGAAGAACTTAAGCTTGGTAAACTCAGCTGGTTTCTTGATAAACAACAGATATATATTGTATCAGGAGTAGGGGGTGGAGTTCTTCTAATCATAGTTCTTCTTATCCTTGCTCTTATCCTTAGAGCTAAACGGTTAAAGAGAAGTAAAACACAGTGGGTTCAGGATACATATGAAGCTGGATTTACTCCGGAAACCAAGGTTGAGAGAGTTGAGACGGAGAGTGGTATTTACAGTTGGTTAGAATCATTGCCTAGATCAGAGTCTGGACAAAAGAAAGGATTTGAGGAGGGAAGTAATAGCTCCAGACCAACTACAAGTACAGATGATTCTATCTCAGATTCAGGGGAGCACAGGCAGAGCAATGAAGGATTGATGCCTGGAACAAAACCCTTTGCAAACACCCCGCTTCGGGGTGACGGGATGAATAAAGAAATTATATCCGGGATGACTGGGGATAGTCTAAAGCTGAAAGGAGATGAATATGTAACTAATGTGATCTCAAAACCCTCTCTGACAATATCTCAAGCTCAGCTTATTGAAAGATTAAATGGGGGAACAATGTCTGATCGAAGTGCATCATCAAACCTAAGTGTCCTTCCTTCTCATCCATCAGCTAGTCATCCTTCATCCAATCCTCAATCTCCTTCTCATTCTTCATCTAAACCTCTCCCTCCTCCTCATCCTTCATCCCATCTTCTCCCTTCTCCTCATCCTTCATCCCATCCTCTCCCTTCTCCTCATTCTTCATCCAAAACTCTCCTTCCTCCTCATCCTTCATCCAAACCTCTTCCTCCTCCCATTCTTCCTCGCCAGATTCCATATTTGTCTCCGTATCATCATCTGAGCAGGGAGGAACCAAGACAGAGCGTACGTTCTTACTCCAGTAGTAGGTTAACAGTTGAACCTCTGGATTATACCAACTATCATGAGATGAGGAAAACACGGCATGAAAGTGTTGTGTGATCAAATTTGTTTCTTCTTGATAAATTACATTTTTGTAATTGATAATTCAAGGATTTATTAAATTTTCGATCAATTTAATGATCAATGTAAGTTCATGATTATTTATTTTATGATCATTGATTAAATATCGATCAGTTAAAAAAACAATGATCAATGTAAAAAAAAAACTTTTTTAATGTGTAAAATGTGATATGTATTTTAATAATCTAGTTAGTTTTAATAAAAACACTAAATATAAAATTATTGTTTTTTTTGGTAAATTGAGGAATACAAAGGAATTAAGTCTTTGCCACGAATTCTAACTTTCTTGTCCCTATATCTTTGCAACCTAATGTTGTATACCTTAACTATTTTAAAATATGAAATCTGGTTAGAAAAATAATTTATATTTGAAACATCAAAAGTGTACACCATCAGGTTGGAAAGATATAAAGATTAGAAAATTTGAGTTTGTGGCAAAAACTCAATTCCTTCTTGCAATTTTTCTGTAGTTGGAATTAATTAATTGCTGGAAAAAGTTGGACTACGAAAGGCTACTTGAACTAATTCTCTAGAGAAGTAGCTGAACTATATCGTGCTTAGTTCAACTACTTCTAGCTTTTTATTAATTCCAACCTCAGGTAACTCTTTAGTTTTCGAAGACGTTTGATGATCTTATCGTAAAATAGCATATCAAAAAATAAAGAAAAAAGTCTACATCGCTATTATGTTTGTTTGTCTGTTTAAATTGTCTGTTTGTTAAAACGTAAACGGCCATTTATTCAACTGATAACTATATCTTTATCAATACAATTTCTTACCAAGAATATTTAACTTTTTCCAAAATATTTTGTGGCGAGAATCCCATTAGAAGATAAGGAGGCCTGTAGAACTAGCCTTGGGGCGACAATTTGATTTATTTACTGATAAAAACTCCGGCAAAACCCCGGGCCGAGGGTGCGAGATAAATTTACAAAGATATCAACGCTTTTTCAGCCGAGATTAATGGATTCAAAACATGGAACACAGGGGGGACAAGTGTAATTGGATAGCAGAAAAAATGGAGCCTTTTGTCATATTTTGTTGATTTTCAGATCTTTGCTTCTTATCAACCCTACACTTTAAAGTGTTGTAATTAAAGAAGCGTAATTTTATATGTCTCTCATTGGAGAGAAGGTAATGCTCAATTCACAACAGTACCATTGAAACCTGTATCGATAATTCTTTAAGGTTTTTCTCCAATAAAAATGCGCAAGTCAATTTTCTAGAGAACCAACAATTACAAATAATCAGTTATCAAAATCAAAAACGTTGATATCTAATTTATACTTGATTAGACAAAGCTATTAAGGGTTCTGTTGTGAATCGGGCATTGCTATCTCTAAATGGAGGGTCTCTTGAAAATTTCTCTAACAGTCTCTTTACGATTTTAAATAGGAAAAAGTTTTTTTAGATGGTTTTAAAAACTTCTTTTTTGTTGCCTTTAAAGATTTTGCCTTAAACTTTATATCTCATCAGAAATTAATTAATTACTCTTTTCAAACCAGATGGCGTAGACCTTAGATATTTTAAACTTGCAATTTAACAATCAAAGTCTAAAAAAAATCAGGTTTCAAAGATATACTGTTTACAAAATTATGATTAAAAATAATATGTATAAATGGCATTTGACTGGGGCAGTCTGATTTAAAAAATATGCATGGTCGAGAAGCATGTATGCAAGGTTTGTAAACAATGCCTCCAACTTACTTTATGCGCAATATACATAGAGTAGATGCCAGAATAGGTGCCAGAGTAGATGCCAGAGTAGGTGCCAGAGTAGGTGCCAGAGTAGGTGCCAGAGTAGATGCCAGAGTAGGTGCCAGAGTAAGCTTGTATTTTATAAAGTTGCAACAAATAAATAACGTCACTTAATGACAAACAAAGAAAATTTTCATATAAAAAAATTCGTTAAATTGATAAAATTTTGCGACTTTTAGTGTGGTATATACTTATTAAACATTAATTTGAGTACGCTCAAGTGGAAAAATCAAGGATGTCACGGATTATTAAAGCATATTATAAAATAAATAAAATCCGCGGAATTGACACAATTTTGCGCATTCCCGGCCTGTCTGTCCCTTGCTCAGGTCCTGTATTCAGTCTGTCAACCTGTCAGAACTATTTGTCAAATCTAAAGATTTTTCAGAATTTTCAGCACCAGTTGGCGCCTCAATATCCGTCAAAACTTGTTTTCTTCATTTTGGCTGTTAACAATTTATTTACAATGTCCNGCTCATTTAAGGCTAAAAGCTGGGCATTTTATACTTACTGCCTGAGTCCTCAAGCATACTGCCTAAATGCCTTGTTTTACTTACACCAGAGTAAATTTATATTTAGACCTACCATCAGTCATTGGATTTCAACATTTATAGGTCTTTGGAAAGCCTATAACAAAACAAGCAGATTGCACAACTTTTGCAAAGAAATTTTGAAAAAATTTTTGCACAGACATGCATTTAGGTTTTAAAAATTTTGCAAACGTTTTTGCACATTTGAATTTGCTGGGTCAAGGGCTTTTAAAAAATGTATAATTTGTTGCAAATTGCGCAATTATTTAGTTTGCACATTTTTGCCTAATAACTAGTTTTCGCAATAGATTTTTGGATTTTTGCCATTTTTTTGCAGATTTTTGAGGTAGAGCCCAAGGTCATTCCAAAAACGTATCAAATGTAGATTTGTATCACAATAAGAAAATAGAGCGGAGGGGGATCAATTAGACCATACGTCAGGATAAATAATTTCATCAAAAATAAAATGAACTTTAGTTCAATGTGGTCTTATATGCTAATATAATATTAATTTACTAAACTAAAATAAAACTAACATTAGTTTAATGTGGTCTAATATGCTAATATGATATTAATTTACTAAACTGAAGTAAAACGAACATTAGTTTAATGTGGTCTAATGCATATTGCACTGTGCTAACCAATGTTATATCTGATAATTATTTCCTGCCTATACACCCATGTTCTTCTATTTATTTATGATTTATACCTGAATAAATTATCAAAACTAAATGTAAATATATTCCAATAAATTTATTCGCCGTCCTACTCCCGTGTTCAAAGTCAAGTATACAGGGTTACTCGCAAAGAATGAGACTTCAGAAACAAGTGCACACATTTTTGAGAGAATACAATTAACAAAAATCTCATTCATTATTTTAGTCATAATTTATCATCAGATTCAAACATGTATTTTATCTATCCAAATATTTTCTACACAACAAATGTCTCCAACCAGTTTTGAATTTCGGAAAATTTTGAAAATCCACGAAAAAAATGTAAATTCGCAAACATTTTTTTATTGTTTTATCGAAAGATTGAGCAACAATTAAAAATTGAAAAAGAATATGGACACAAAGCGCCCTGAGAGCCTAGAATGTATATAATTTTCTATCCTTTCCATTCCTCTTCATTTTTTCAAGGACTTACTTATAAGATATAACTTTTCAAGGCCAGCTCATTAAAAATGATTAGACTTCTAACTTTAATATTTAGGTTACTACGAAGATTTCTTTAAAAATTCAAAAGTACGTAGGACAAATTTACGATATAGGGTTCACTCTATTTTCTTTCTAAAATGTCGTGGTACGCCTGTATCGTATATCTGTGCAAAGCTGTGTTTAAATAATTACAATTCTAATTGTTTCCACAGTTCTTTGGGTTAACATTGGACCCCACACATATAGACACCTGGTAGAACCTTAAGACGGATACACAGCTCAAAATTCAAGCAAAAACTTTAGACGTCCAAATAAATAGTATTTTAACCATAAACTTAAGACAACTAGACTTTCTGGTAAAATTGTGGATAGAATACAGAAAGTATGTATATTTTGATACAGTTGAAGCTGAAACTTTAAACTATAGGACTTCTGATAGTTAAGCAGAACCTTTAGACAACTAGATTTCTGAAAGTAAAGGTTAAAACTTTAAAACAAAATTTCTGATAATAGTCGTAAAACTCTAGACAAGTAAACACTTCTGGAAATTTAAGCAGAAACTTTAGACATTTTACTTCTGAAAGTTGAAGCAGAAACTTTAGATAAAGTGACTTTTGTATCAGAAACCATTTAATATTACCCCAACTAAGCAATAGTATTTTTTTAGTGAAAAGTGCACAAAAGCGGTNAGAAAGAACGTGCGAATCATCCCAATTAACCCACTTCTGAAAAGCAATCTGAATGCAATAATTGCATTCTGCACAATACCATATTCTTATTGATTAACTGCAGTCAAGAGGGCCGAAGACTAATTTCTATCATCATTACATTTAATTGATTTATTTTGATTGAATCATTTATTTACAAAAAAATTGCATTGAACACAATTGATTTTTTAATTAAATATCCTTGATCAAATCTATGTTAGAGGGTGTCCCTACAATCCTGAAAATTTTTTAAAAACGCATTCGTAAAGAAATGTGGCTCACCCAAACGTTTTTTTATTTATTGTCTTAAAAGTCATTTTGGTATTCAAAATGACTTTTAATTTAAAATAGCCATCTCTGAATATGTTGAGACTTGAGTTCAATTCAATTCAAAGAATAAATTAAATCAAATAATTTATTTCTGCAGAAAAAAAAACAAATATTTACGTATTTAATTTTTACAAATCCCAATATGAAAAATATTATTTTCCGCAGCAATATTTTAGCTGAGCTCCCCTGTTAACCAAATTCTTTACTGAATTATAGCATTTAAAAAAACACATACACAAAAAGAACTAAGGAGAAAAATCAGTTCAGCATGAATCGAAGGTTTGACATGGAGACAGAGAGGGATTCATAACGTAAACATTGAGTAATTAATATATTTGATTTTAAGAAAATGTGTTTTAACTTTTAATAAAAGCCGCAAAGACTGTACTTTTTACAGCGCGGACAGATTTAAAAATAATAATGAGAGTAAAATTTTCCAGGGAGAAAGTATATCTGAAAAACTTTGAAGAGTTTTGTTTTTATTAAATTTGACGGAACATAATGCGTGGTTAGGTTGCAGTAGCGAACAGTAAAAACCAGGGTTTTGTTGTAAACCCTCAAACTGGTGCACCATGAAATAGTTCTGTTTAAACCCTCAAACTGGTACACCATGAAATGGTTCTGTATTAAAACCACAAACTGGTGCACCATGAAATAGTTCTGTATTAAACCCTCAAACTGGTACACCATGAAATAGTTCTGTTTCAAACTCTCAAACTGGTGCACCATGAAATGGTTCTGTTTCAAACTCTCAAACTAGTGCACCATGAAATAGTTCTGAATTAAACCCTCAAACTGGTACACCATGAAACGGTTCTGTATTAAACCCACAAACTGGTGCACCATGACATAGTTCTGTTTAAATCCTCAAACTGGTGCACCATGAAATAGTTCTGAATTAAACCCTCAAACTGTTACACCATGAAATAGTTCTGTATTAAACCCTCAAACTGGTGCACCAGGAAATAGTTCTGTATTAAACCCTCAAACTGGTGCACCATGACATGGTTCTGTATTAAAGCCTAAAACTAGTGCACCATGAAATAGTTCTGTTTTAAACCCTCAAACTGGTGCACCATGAAATAGTTCTGTATTAAACCCTCAAACTGGTGCACCATGACATGGTTCTGTATCAAACCCTAAAACTTAATAAAAACAACAAATAGACCTAATTTTTGCCATAATTTTGGTTTTTGTATTTATTCTTGTTTTCTTATTATCACTGAAAAACCCAGAAATCTGAATCTTAAAGGTCTGTGTTAAGGAACTAGAATTCATATCCTTATGTTTTTGAATTTCTAAATACCTTCTAAATAACTTTAAGGAAAGGGATGCATAGCAAATTTATTTTATTTTGTTTTCTTTTTCAACTTTCTCAAGTACAAAACAAAATTGACTTTCTTGTTTCTAGTTTAGAAAAATAAACTTGATGTAAAACTGTGGAAAAGTTATACGACTGTTAGTCTCAAATTGTGATTTTTAAAAAGTCCCATGAACATGAACCACAGCAATTGTGCTCGATGTATTGTCCCCTGTACGTAATGGTAAGGCAATGCTCTATTACTATATTAAATACACATTAGATTTCTTATCTTACTGAACCACAGTTTTTAAGTGAAACAGTATGATTTTCGATACGTTTCAACTGTCATATATCCTTCTCAATTCTAAAAGAAAATCAAACATCTGAATTGCGTAAAAATAGAAGATGGGGGGGAAATATTTAAGTGCAAGGTATTTACTATATTCTACGTAGTTATCAGTGTACACTGTACAAACTACTATAGTCCATATTTTGATTATTTTGCTGCTTCAGCAATTATGCACACAAGGATTCTAAAGTTTAGAAGAAATACATTACAGTACAGTACATTGAAGTTCATTACGGTGCATTACATTGAAGTACAGTACAGTGCAGTACCTGTACATTAAAGTTCACTAGAGTGCATTACATTGAAGTACAGTACAATACAATACAGTACAGTACAGTACAGTACAGTTTAGTACAGTACAGTACAGTTTAGTACAGTACAGTACAGGACCGTACAGTACAGTACAGGACCGTACAGTACAGTACTGGACCGTACAGTACCGTAGCGTACAGTATTGTACTAAAAAAACAGCATATTATCTATGCTAGAAAGGTATGCAATGCAAAGGAAAGAACATCAAATTCCAGATTTTATGAGAAATGTACAATGCGAAGTTGCAAACAAAAGATTCTCTTTTGCTCCGTATTTCTTCTCTTTATCAGGTTTTGTATTTTTGATTAAAACAGAGGTCATATTTAATGAATTAGAAAAGTAGTTGAGTACAAGAGAACTGGTTGAACTGGTTGAACCTGTGGTACGGTGTTCAGCTACTTCTCTCTATTAATTAAACTAAGCCCAAATGAAATTTTGATTTTGGTCTATTTTAGTGGTAAACGCCTGAAAGATGTATATTCAAAGGAAGGAGATGAAATACAGAGCTCCGAAATCAAACCCGTGGAAAATGGTCAAAATACTAAAATCAAAGAAGAAATGTAAGTGCGAATACTCATGGTTAATTTAACTAGAAGTTTTAAATTACTATGCCTGCACAAACTTCGGAATTACAGTTTGGTACGACTTTGGTCAAAGCATGTCAAAAATTCAAACGTAGTTTTTTGCATAAAGCGATTTCGTTTAGATTTACAAAAAAATATATCTTATCTGAACTAAATCCTTCAGGAACAGCTGATTCCTTTCTGTTCAGGAACAGCTGATTCCTTTCTGTTTAGGAACAGCTGATTCCTTTCTGTTCAGGAACAGCTGATTCCTTTCTGTTTTTTTTTTCAATTTGCCAATCGAAGAGGAGCTAACGTTTAATTTTCTTTCTTTTTAAAATCTTTCAAAATGTTCCAAAATCCACAATGAAACCGTGAGCTGCCGGCATAGTAGTTTTAGCTAAAATGTAGCAAGAAATTAAACAATTGCTAAAATGACAGAAAAAAATTAGCCAACAAAAAGTGTAAGTCTGTATTTCATTCCAAAAAGTTTTTTCTATATTATAAATGTTTCAGGGATGTTAAACAAAAACAAAAACAACAAAACAAAGTTCAACAACCCAGGTGAGCTTGTTCAAAATTTTTTATTTATAACTAATACTGCTAACCGTTCTGAAATGGGAGTCAGTTCTACTCACACCATTTTTAAGACGCTAGCACACATTAAATTGAATGCAAACGAAATTTCAAAGAGACATCGTAAGAATTCCACACGTTTTTTTCTCATTGTGTCTTAGTTAGTGGTTTAAAGGGTATACGTTGAAGTTACGTCTCTAGAGCTTTAGTCCCTTTAAGAAAAACTTGTTTAATGAATGTTCTAGTGTCCCAGATAATGAGAAGTATGAGAAATGTTTGCTGCAACGAACAACATTACTTAAAGAACTAAGATTTCGTAAGTAGAAAGGATTTGAGTCTTTGCTACAGCTCAAATTTTCTAAACCACATATCTTTGCAACCTGATGGTGTAAAACTTTGATATTTAAAATTTAGAATAGTTGATCTTATCTAAGGTCTACAGCATGGGGTTGCAAAGATTTAGGGATCATAAAATCAGAGTTCGTAACAAAGACTCAATTTTACTTTTAAATAGTTCAAATCTGTTGTCGAGAATTTGAGCATCAGGTTCAAAGTATCTGTTTTATTTATAATATTTGTTAAAAATCAAAATTAAAAATGCAGAAATATATAAATATGATTATGTATGTAAATCAAATAGAATTAGTATTTTTTTTAATCTGTTGAATGGACCGCTACTTTAAACTGTGAACTAATAGTTATCAATGAATTCTAGGAAAAACTTGTTTACTAATACCTCTAGATAAAATCTAGTGAACCGGAATTATCAAAACTATAAACTATTTGTCTAAAATAAATTCTAGTAAATGGACTGCTCAAAACAGAGAACTAATTGTCTAAAATAAATTCTAGTGAACTGGACTGCTCAAAACAGAGAAATAATTGAAAAAAAATTCTAGCGAACCGGACTGATCGAAACTGTTAGCTAATTTTCTTAAAAGAAATTCTAGTGAACCGGACTGCTCGAAACTGTGAACTAATTTTCTAAAATTAAATTCTAGTAAACCGGACTGATCGAAACTGTTAGCTAATTTTCTTAAAATAAATTCTAGTGAACCGGACTGCTCGAAACTGTGAACTAATTTTCTAAAATTAAATTCTAGTGAACCGGACTGATCGAAACTGTTAGCTATTTTTCTTAAAAATAAATTCTAGTGAGCCATAGACATGGACATTTTATAGCCATAGACATGGAAATTTTATAACAAAGACATGGACATTTTATAGCTATAGACATGGACATTTTAAAGCCATAGACATGAACATTTTATAACATAGACATAGACATTTTATAGCCATAGACATGGACATTTTATAACATATAGCACTTATTTCTAGCAATAACGTAAAAGGAGCATAAAGCAAAATGCTGATAGATTTTTGCGTGAGAGCCTGAACCTTAGGATCCCTGTGCTCAGCAAGCTTTGTGAGTTTTGATCACAATATGATCAATTAAACACAAATTACTAGCCTTTTCTCTTTTATACTTTTGTTTGGTGAATTGCTTTTCAAACGAAAAACTACTAAAAGACAACTTTATAAATTTGAAGATTATCGAATTACAGCTGGACCAAAACGCAAATGAATTCACATTGAAGAGTCCGAATGCATCTAGCTCTAATTATTCTTGTGTGGGTGGAAATTCCGTCCTGCAGGAGTCCAGCATATTGGTCGCAAATCGCTTTTTTATATTTAGATATTTGTATTTGTGTAAAGTCTCCAATTTCAAGAGCATCTATTTCAATTTCTAAGGAACCAAACACTTTCCACAATTTTCTAATCCCTAAATCATGGCAACCTGATGATGA